CACATGAGCTGACAAGTCTTCACCTGCCACTAGAACTGCTCCATAAAGTGCCTGCCTTCCAAGGAGGCATGCAAYGCCAGTTTGTCCCTTTGTCCTACAAGCCTGAGGCTATCCCTGCTGTGCACTGTCTCAGAAAGGGTATTTCTAGTCTGTCTTTTTTCCAGTGGGYTTCTGAGTTTTTCACAATTTGGTATCTAGAAATTATTTACTTTTTTTTTTGCCTGTTGGCACTTTTTTGTTAGTAGTGGGGTTTTTTCACTTTACTTGTATTTTGTTCTTTATTGGTGGGAAGGGTTTAGTTGGAATGAAGGGGAAGGATAGTAATTTTAGAGTGCCCATCTCTTTAAATTGACCCAAACCAAAACACCATGCCAAAAGAGATGACACCCATAGCTCTTCCCTTGTGTACTGACATAGCCACTCCATCACAGAAGGACATTAGATTGGTCAGGCAGGAACTGTGTTGGTGAAGTCATGGTGGCTGTCTGAAATCAGCTCCCTTTTTGAGTAAACATAGTTTAAACTACTTTTTTTTCAAGTCTCTATCCTTTTCTTTAAAAGAAGTTTTACCAAAACTTACCTCTGGGTACTTCAGTTTTAAAGTTTTATGCAATTCTCGAAAACGACTGTACCGACGAAATACTGTCCACGTCTCATCCAGGACTGTTATCTTAGAGCAGACAATATAAAAAAAGAAACAGAAGTAAACTCACACAGTGCACAACACTAAAACCYATGCAGTAAATACAGCTGTAAGATTAAAATGGACAATTCTTATTGTCTTAAATCCATAAGCTTTTACAGGTTTACTCAATTTTTATTTCATTACAGTGACAGAACTGTATTTAATAAGGATCACTTATTAAAAAAAAAAAAAAAAAAAAAACAAAAAAAAACCTGAATGCATTTATTCCTTATTCTGCAGTGGTTTGACGAGACTGTAAACACATTAAAGCATCCCCAATCCTTAAAATCAACATAACTACTCCAGTGAATGAAATGCGTAACAACAGGAGCAAAGAGGGAGGGCACACCAAACTTACCATCAGTTACTCACAAAATTCTCACTAGAACTGAGATACCAAACACTATGTGAAATTAGGTGAAATTAAAGACATTTMTAAGTGGGTCATAAAAGTGCTTTAACCAGAGCATTTGACTTTGCAGTAAAGTCTTTGTGCAGCTCTGGTGACCCAAAGCTACCAAGAAGCCAAGATGCAGGGTGAGCAAACATTATTCTGTACAGACTAGCAGAGATGGAAAGAGCCAACTGGCATTGCTTAAAACTGAACACTGCTGTTTTTTGAATCAAATAGGCCTATTATCAAATAGGCATCACTTCTGTCTAGCTACGATTTTATGCATAAAGTTAAAAAATATGTAATTTCACAAAACACGTTTCACAAAGACACAGGCTTTTTAATCTTAAAGTGACTCCTAAAATTAACAAGTAGTTCACTACTGAGTGTATCAAAAAGTTATAGAGGTAAAGAAAGGTTTTGGTGGCTTGATTTGACCTGACTTGGTCCCTGTCATCCTCCTTGTTTACTTTGCTTTGCATAATTTCTAAATTCTTGTAATCAGACTAGCAGGTAATTGCAAAATTTTATTGTTGTTACAGCTGATACTATTGAAAATGAATTTCAATGCTAAACAAAATCTTAACTGGCCCCCAGAGCACAGCAATAATGTTATTAGGACAGATAGAATCAAACTCCATTTGTATAAAGAGAATTACCTTGCACCTGGCATAGCAATAGCATTTCTAGAACAGAGCCGTTTACTCCTACAACTGATGCATCAAGTTTGGGTTGGGATTCTTTTACCCATTAAAAAAATCTGTGTGACGGACTATGCACTCTGTCTGCGACAGGGACGTATGTAGCTCTTTTGAACAGCAAGTAAAGCAATTTTGAAAAGCCTTTTACTTTTTATATAAGCTGCTAATACAGTTTAAAATACTTTCTTAAGAGAAAAAAACATGGTTAAGCACATCTGCAAGACAGTTTCTGGAATATTCTGATCTAGGCACTGCTGTGGGTTGTTTTGTTTTTCTGACCTATGAGGAAGAGACGGAATGAACAGGTACATGTTGTCCCCTGTCTGCCATGTTTTCCTTATTTTTAAGGCAAAAAAAAGCAAACCCTCTATTCCATGTGTTCTAATTTTCTACAGAATAATATTAATCTGAACGTTAATCCAGATCAAAGTAGAGCTGGGAGCTCTGCAGGGAAAAGGTTTGAAATAGAAAAGTTTGTGGAAGGTCTGTGGATTGTAGCTTGGAGCTAAATCCTAACTACAGCAGAAGCACTCCACTGTGACACAAAGATCTGGAGGGAAAGGAAAAAGCAATAACAGTTGATTGATCCATGTRAAGGAATGACTATAAGAAACATCCCCAAAACTGCCAAACTACACATACTTTTTCAACTGGTCCTCCATTCTAAGATCTTGCAGAGGTTTTACCAATGAAGGGAGAATACTTGAAAAAGAAATCCATTAACATATTCAGAATAGAAGCTACCTTTTTACTTTATCCATCTTCACTATTAGGTAGTCTAGTAAATCCTAGGTGCTGAAAACTGTTGGTGAGTAGAAGAGTCCTTGGGGAAATTTCATCTCTCAGTATCTCCCTAGCTCTGGGCTTTCAACCCCAAAAAAATCGAAGTTCAACAGGTAAAAGGAAGTATTCCACCCACAACTGGTGTSGTATGTTTTAAAATGAAAATTTAATTAGCACATACAATGGTAAGAATGCCCATYTTAATAGAAATCTTTTCAAAAGAGGGCACAGTTCAAAAATGGTCCTTCACAGAGCGAGAAAGGTCACTCCTCTCCACCTCACAGCAGCCACCAAGGCATCTGGCAGCACATTCAGTGAAGGAGGCTGCCAATTCTGTCTCTGATGACATCCACATCACTTATGCTACATGTCCACACACACTGACAACACATTTCAAACTAGACTTTAGAACTTGCYTTGAAAAAACACTGGCTGAATACCAGAGGAAACAAAATTAACACACTTGTTTTCCCCACAGCATTTCTGTGCAGAAAATCAGCTGAGAAAGCCACTAGAATGGAGAGAAAGCACACAACAGCTTGCAGAAGCAAAACTTTGGAAGTGCAGAGTGGGAAGAATCAGAACAAAGAGAGCCTGAAAGGAATGAAGCCTTTGTTGTGTAAAATGTGCAAATCACGTTGTTTATGTTTTCATGCTTTCATTAGAGGYAAATATTTAAAATTATTTATCATGTTATTTATGTTTTCATGCTTTCATTTCAGGTAAATATTTCAAGTCAACGCCATTTCTATACCTGACACTTGCATCTCAATAAAGGGCTTTCCTATAACCAATAAGCATTTAATCCTCATCTCTGGAAGTCTTCAGATTGAACTGACATTGGCTCCAGAACTACTCACCCCAAGAATTTGGTCACTAGCCTCCTCTGTATAATCAATTCACTTAGAAAATACTTGTCTTCACACCATCCTATTCTGTGCATTCTTCTCACAACCTCTTTTATTTAGCAGTACTGAGGTCATTCCCATAACAGAAAGAAAAAAAAAATTGCACTTAGCGGAACAAAAACATTCAAGAAAAGCAACTGATAAGCACTTACCTTTATTTCAAACTCATAGTGTTCATCCTTTCCTTGCCCACACAGGACATATCGTGGAATACTAATTTTAATTGGGTCCTTTAGGTCGTCTGGATTTGCTCCCAGTGAACGACACACCATCCGCTTTCACGTACATACCAAATAGGGAGAACAAAGGAAAACCAAAATCACCACATAAGGAAAAAAAGAAAAGAATTTCGCTGAAAATGAGAAAGTATTCTTGACTAGAGGAGCAGGAAAAGAGAACTTGGATGAGACAGAAATTCTAAAATGAAGGAGTTCTTTGAAAACAAAGTGGATCTTTTGTTATAAGCAAGCTCTAACTTTTTTTATCCATACAAAAATTAAGAGAAAGTGTATTAAAAAATACTTCTTTCTTTGAAAAGGCATTTTCAGCTTAGATATCAAAACCAAGAGAAAGCAGAAGACCTTTTATTATCTCCCTTAAAAAAAAAGTATATTAATCAAGCCTTCACAGTTAACACYAATTTTTGTACATCTCTATATAAAAAACATGTTTACAGTATCATGCACAACTGCAGGGGTCTARGCAATTCAGAAAGCTCTTCAACTTTAAAATTCAAACTCATTTTATAATTAAAGAAGCAATCCATTGTCAGAACCATTTCCYACTACTTTTTTTAAAACATATCGAAGTCCCAGAAAACTCAACTATGATAAATTTGAACTGTCTGGACAAAACAATCTAAAAGGTTACTTGCAATGAAGGCCCATTCCTCTGACAGCCAGATGGAATCTGTAACTCTGAAATTATGTCCAAAATAAAATATTTTTGCAACTGAAAAGATTAACACTTTGCAGTCACTATATCCAAAAGCAGCATAAACATTTAGAGTGAAAAAGTACAGAAACTGCCTATAAGGAAATCCTCCACTTGCTGCATTTAACATATTTGGTCTGAAAACCTTAATGAACTGGCACTTAAAAAAATAACAGCAGGATGACAAACATAAGTTAACAACAAAAAAAGACTGAGAAACTATCACTTTAAAGTTACAACTATCCTATATATTTGCATTTAGCACTGCTACCCATTACTTGAGCTGTAACTGTATTCTCAACATCCATCTTCTCTGTAGCAACTCTTGGTGACTTCCAGTATGCATGAGATTATGTAGGACTTGGAGAAGAGTTTGAAACTCATTCATAAACACCTCTGCCTGTTACAGAGAGCYTTTTGACATCCTCATGGCTCTCAAGAAGGGGAGGCTGTTACTTCATTGACAGTCAATTATAAATGATAACGTAATTCCCTTTAAGGTTGGCATTAAAAATAATGAAAAAGAAAATAAAAAGAAAGTGATTTGTTGTTATATTAACTTTATCTAGAAGGTATTTACCACAAACTCTCTTTTTATTTTAGGAAACCATAAAAAAGTTTATGTTGGAATGGAAAAATATTTTTAGTGACATTTGTTTTCACAAAAAATGGTCTCCTGTCTATTTTGTTCTTCTATAATTACTCCCCACTTAACTGGCTTTTCAGCTAAAACTCATTCCTGGAGCATTGAAATGTAAGATATTCTTTCCTTGGGGGAAAAGAGAARTTAAGTTCATTGCCCTGCCAACAACATCATCTATTTTAAAACAACAATAAAAGTTACTCTTAAAGCCACCTCTGTCCACATGTAATTTATTCACAGTCATTTTCAGAGAACTATTACAAACAGCTAATAGAGAGGAAAACAATCTCAAAATACAAGRTGTTGTGGAAAATGCCCCCTAATGCATTAAACAATGTTTTGATATTTATAAACAATTGTCTTTATGTTAGCTTTACATAGTAAAAATAGAARTATTAGAATAAAATATACTGCTATTAAGTTGTTATTTTTGACAAAAATGCAGAGTATTCATTGAGTTACATTTTTTTAAGAAGCACAAAAGAGGGAAAAATATTATTGGGAAACACAGGACACACAAACATCTAACTTTAAGAGTAAAATCAGAAAATAAATCGGTTGCAGAGATTGTTTTCCTTTAACAGCCTTGATCAAGACAGTGCCCTCAAACAGTGCCACTCAATACTGACTTAGGGCAAGGCCCAGAAGAAATGCCTTGGTGATRTCAATGAGGGAGCCACTCCTGAGCAGGACTTACATGAGGATACCCCACTGTCTACTCATTTGTACACATTCTYTTGTCAAAAAAACTCCACAATACCTCAAAGTAACATGAAACATTTTGCTCATTTTTGGACTTCCTTAAGGAAGWAGAAATGTAGTGATAAAACCCCCCATAATTCTCTATCTAAACAAGAGTTCATCCTTCCAGACATAACTGCTSTACCCAAAGCAAGCTATTTCTTTTTAAATCCCATGTGAGTTACAYTAACATGTCTTAGCATATGGTAGAAACAAATGGGAAATGTTCTTATACTAGCAGGGAGACTGAAGTCTAACTCTGTCTAGTAGAAGATTTCACCTCTGCTGGCAAYATGCTTACAGAATTTAGAATTTCAGATCAGATACCACTGTTTTTTGCTGCCAAGAGCCATCTTCCTCAAACAGGGCAGATGGCATATTCAAGAAACAGGATTCCAAAGATATTCAACTCTTCTTACAAGAGAAGATACAAAAGATAGGAGACAACAACTTATTTATTGTTTGGACAAATGACAGGGGTAACAGGTAAAAAAAAAAATCCTTGTCCTAAGCTAGAGGAGAGCCTCAACAAATGGAAATCTTTTGCTACTGCCCAACAGTTTTATTTTTTCTTGGGCTGTACTAATAAAAAGACTGTAAGAGATACAATCTCACAGCATCAACAACCCCATCATTAAGCAAGCAGAAAACAAAAATAAGGCCAAGCACATTAGATGGACAGAATTCTAGAGGTAAACTCACTCCCTTTGTCAGACACTGTTCCCAGTTGTCAACTACCCAGTTACAGCATGAGAAACATGCACACAGATGATAGACCCCAAAACATTTATCTTGCCACAGTAGCATAATCAAAAGTTGAAATGCTATTTAAAGCAAAATTCYTTTTGCACTAGTGACAAATTTTGATATGAAAGTGCAGTAAAAACTTAAATGCAAAACTCTGAAGCAGAAGAGAATTGTCAATGCTAATATTCTCAAAATTGCATGTATAAAAGCTGTAAACATCTGTACTATTAAGAGCCATACAGTGAAAATAAGATTTAAAAAAAAAATTGCAGATGTTTTTAAATATTGATATCAAGGGCATGAAATAAAAGAGGAGCATGAAAAACAAAGATAATGAAAAAGATTAAAGAAAAGACAATCGAGGAGGAATAGAAAAGACACTAATGAAGACAGTATGTGGAAGAAGCCAGAAAACACAGCCAAAATGGAAATCAGAAGACAGAGCCTTAATTATAGTTTTCATCCACCTACCATATAACATAGAARCATTTCATTTCCCCACTTTCCCAAGGATTGTATGTACAACATATCAGAGATTCACAAAATGCAAGCACTCAAGTAATAATTATTATTGCTTAGATGGGTGTACACAGTCTGTGGTATTCCCCTAGAGCTCAAAGGTCCTTTTTCTCTACTGAATACAAAGAAAAAAAGAAAAGGATTTTATCAATATTCATTAGCCTTTTATTTTGAACATATCGAAAAGTATTTCGGATTTCAAGACCTAGCCAAATGTGTAATTAGCCAAATGGCTTCTTCACCTGTACTGAATGTTAATTTCCAGGTTTCTGAAGGCATATGCAAACTGCTTTGAAGAACTGATGGGATGACTGTCAGCTGAGTATTTATTTCTTTTTCAGAGTATTTAGAAAAAACAGTTGGATCAGGTCCAACCTTGCTCCTTCTAGAAAACACAAGCTCAATTTTTGTGTAATTCTCTTTGTCTGGCAAAACTGCACATCGAATGTCATTYAAACTGTGCAACCAAAGGCTGTCAAATTGTGATTGCTGGCATGAAGCATCCAAAATGTTAGGTGCAGAAAAAAAGACATAATTTTCCTTGAYAAGACCTATATGAGTAGTTGTAAGAACAAGACTTCTATGCACAGTCTGCTCAGCACAGTCTACTTTCACTGATGTATACAGTAGCACATGAATTTCACCTAATGAAGGTTTAATACTTCCCATATTTTCATGGAGTAAGTAAACTAGATCAGCTAACTCAGTTTCAAACTTACAGGACAATCGTACTCCATTTGAAAAAACTAATTCATTTATATCTGAAGTCCAGTTGAGTGAAATCTGCATCAAGTCATCTTTCAAAAGCTGGTGATTTAAACAAACATCATCATCCACTGTAAAAATCAAATTTCTTATTATGTCATTGCAAATTCTTTGAGTGAAGTGTTTGTTATAGGTAAATATTGTGAGTAAACCAGCAGAATACAGAAGTCGAAGATACTGTCCAGCAAAGCCAACTTGAATCTCCTTTAAAGTGCTGATAGGAACTTCATGAAACACTTCCAAGGAATTCTGACAGGCTTCTTGYTTGTCTGACGAAACAACAACATACAGAATGGAACTGAACAAAAGCAAGCAAGCAGGTTCTGGGTTGGGTTTTCTGCAACTGCCAACAGCGAGCCAATAGATACCTTTCAACTCCTCCATCCTAACAGAAATTTGAGGTAAAGCACAGATGAAAAATTCCAGTACCTTTTCCAGAGAACAGACCTGAAGCTTCAAAAAGATATCAGGAAAATGCACAAAGTTCTGTCTTAAGACAAAACTGTTTTCTAGCTCTTCATTTTTCCAACGGCATGCAAACCCTTCAGGCTTTCTCTCGAAGGCATCAGTGATCTCTGTGCTTATGCACATTGTGGATTCAGGATGAAGGACATTTTCAGTATGACCTTTGGCACCATCAGTAGTGTGGGACATGTCTGGATTCATACCTGACTTGAGGAACGTATCTACTTTCAAGTCTCTTAAAAATGGCAGATTTTTTATTAATGATACTGCTTGGGCACATGTCTCACTTCTGTCACACAAACTTCCCAACTCCTTAATTTGTTTAGGAATCACCGCACTGCTGAGCAGCTGACTGYTGGTATCTTTATAAAAACAGGAAAGCTTACTGAAAAGATATCCCAGACTGGAACTGTGTTCTGGTCTCTCATCAAAACAAGAAGCTATTGACTTAAAAGAAACCAAATCAGAGCATTTCTGCGTTGAAAGCTGAGAATTACTAGATTGGTCATCAATTATCATGTGCACTGTGTTTAATGGGCTGTTTTCTTTGTAAGTTTTTGTTTCAGAATGCACACTAGACTGAGAAAAGAGAAGGCATGAGTCAGTTTGCTTATTAGCACCCGTTAAGGATCCTGCAGGAGACAGCTGTTTCAAGTGGGAACAATCGGATTCAGTTCTTRAGCTGTCACAATCTGGAGAAGTAATTATGTTACCATCAAAATGATTGAAATTTTCAACCTCGTGGAGTGAAAAAGCCACATTATTAAAGTCAGAACTATGTAAATAAGGAGACAAAACATTCTGATAAGGAACATTCGTACTCTTTAAGGTATTAGTACTTTTAGAGTGAATTAAACTACTTTTAATGTCACAATGACAAGCAAAGCTCTCCTGTTCTGAGTTACTCCTTTCATTCTGAAATGCCTTCTCTGATGTACAAGGGGACGAGAGTCTTCCAGAACTGGAAAATAAATCCAGCATCTCTGTATATGCCTTCCGTGTCYTATGGTCTCTTATTTCTCCACACAGCTCAGAAGCACAAATGCCTTCTTTAGACAGAAATGGAAAGCCATACTGTGGCTGCCACTGTTGACTTTTCTGTTAAAAATTCCAAAAGAAGAAAATAGAAATGTCTTTGTAAAATCTTCTGACCTGAACATTTCTTAAATTGAGGATTGATTTTGATTWGATTTATACAATCATTGAAAATTGGCACAATCTCTCAAAATGAGAGAAAAYCCAACAGATGTGATTGAGATCTGATTAAGGAGTAGCTGATCTTTCCAACCCATCTCTTCTTTTTCTTTGTACAGTATCCATTTCACTTGGTTTATATTTGCTTTACTCAAAAGCCCCAGGAAAGTCAACGGGCAATGCAGAAAATTAGAAGCCCTATCGATCCTATAATAGCCAAGAGACTGCAAAAAGTCCAACACAACTTAAAAATRATAGTGTAAAAGTAAAAAAGAGTCCAAATTCAAGGTGTTGCAGCCCTCCTATTGTTACAGTTTAAAYCCATAAAAGTATTTAGGATTTACTCACCAAGACAGTAAGTGTGTTTCAAGCAGCAGTTAGACAACTAAATATGGTGGGAGAGGTTTAAGCCTCAATTTAAAAATACATAAATACATGCATGAATCCTTCAGGACACAGGTAAACTTTCTTGGTTCTTCCTGCTGAATTATAGACACCCTTACAGCAGCTCACTGCGAGTCAAAAATGTGATGTGTATTCTGAAYTCAGACAATCTCTCCTCATTAAATGCTTTTCTCCTCGAAAAATAAGGAAAGGGATACTGTTTCAAATTAAGAATCATGGCAAAACAATGAAGAAAGATCTGCCATAACACCACACCTTTCAAACAAGGAAAAGCTAGGTCCAATCTGAAACAAAATCACTGATTCCAGCTGGTAAATTGCACTGCCATCTCTRTTAGCCATTAATCTTGCTGTGAATTCAAAATTATAATTATGCAGCCAAACATTAAGAAATTTAATTACAGGGCATGCCATAATTTAAGACAACCATTTCATTCTGGCAAATTATGACCTACCTCATACTTCAACTTCCGTTGAATAGTGCTGTTATKATGCCTCTCATTATCCTAAGCACAAAAAAGGTACAGGAGATTACTAAAAAGTGCCTTTCTTGTATAAATTAATTTWAAAGTATTAGGAGGAAGAGACATTCTTTGTAATAGACAAAAATAAGAATCAATATTTATTAAACCACTGGCTTAGAAGCCAATCAACCCACTCTTTGGAACAATTAGATCACCAGTTCTTCAATAGGTATTTGTTTGCAAGTATGAAATTCTATCCAGAAGAATATTAATTTTCATCAACTTAATTTCTCTGACATAAAATGAAGATTTTATTTCATCTGCAAACTTCCTTTTGCCATTTACATATTCATCCCACAAAAATCCCCCAGAGTACAACATAAAAATGCCACAGGAAATCAAAATATTATTGAAATTTAAAATCTTACATTATCTCTGATTTACTGTTTCCATTTTTTGGTAAACTAAAACTAAGTAAACACAGGAAAACATGGAAATTACTGAAGAAGAAAATTAAATCAGTGGTTAGACATGATCCATTGAAGGTCAGGATCTCCCACCCATTTCTGCTCACCTTGAAACTTTCTGCAGRGAAGGATGCACTAACATCATCATCCTCAGTTTTATGATGAATATTCTGAAGCCTTCTCTGCACTTCTTGTTCAATAAAGGCATTTATCCTTCAAGATAYAGAAAAGCATGTGAGTGTATGGAAATATATTTTTACATAAAAATCRAGACAGACTAAAGGGTTATTTGAAATGTTTTTAACCTTTAGTACTGCACAGCTCCTAACTGGCAGGCTTAATGTTAGACCAGTTTTATACCTCCTTAAAGAAGGAACACTGACTTTTGAGCAAGTGCTCACCTCACAGGCAAAGATTAACAATTTTCTAGAAATTAAACATATTAGTAGACCACAGGTTGAGCCACTACTATGAGTGCAGCTCTACACACAAGAGGCAGTGAGGGTACAAGAGATGAAGAAGAAAGAAGGCTGGGGCTGCATTTTCAGTAACTTAAGAGTTTGCTTCCATTGCTACTGTGATATCAGAACTTGGGCTAACAAAGCTTTGGTCTTCAAACAAAAGGAATATTCCAAGAGCTAACACTAACAACTGCCATGTATAAGTGTAACAAGGGCAGAGAGTCAAGATTTTAGTGATGCCAGGCAGCTACTCCATTAAAAAATATTTAAGATGATCCAATTTACTTTGTTRTTTTAAGTGTATATGAAGCAAAACCATATAGACAAGTAACTGTAAACTCAAAAACAACTTAAACAGCCTACAGTTTCCCATCCCTGTATTCTAAAACAGACTGCATAGGAAAAACAGATGAGGCTAYTGGTCATTTACAGTAGAATATAAAMATAAATGTTATTTTCCAGACCAGTCTTTCAGTACAATCACAATATTTCAAACAAATCCAATCTTGGCAGAATCGTCTTTAAATTTTTTTTTATTTTCTAAAGCTATTGTTTGCATTCCATTGCAGGAATGCAGATTACCTACCTATCATCAACCAGTGGGCCAGCAGGTAGTTGTGGCTTTGTTGAGCTGGCAGGGGAAGTGCTATGAGAGAATCTCTCGTCTAATATTCCATGGTTTCCTTTCTGAGCACCGTTGCCCTCGTATATTTTTTGCTTCAGCTGCTGAATTTCCTGGTCCAGGCTATAAAGAGAKCTTAACATGTAATTTGGTTTAGAGTTGATTTGTGTAGTTCTGATGTAATGTGCTTACACTGGTATACATTTACATAAGACTGTAAGTACTAATATTTGTGAAGGTTTAAAAATCATAATTGTTCTTTAAGCTTATTTAGATAGGAAAACAGGAAAATGGAGACAGCTTAAAACCACATTCCAAGAGTAGTATTAAGTTGAATAAAACAACTTCAATAACTTCCATTGCAAGAGGTATCAAAATCTGTACATTAAATATTAACCCTTAAGACCTAATCTATCTATTACAATCATYTGAATAAATAATCATTTTTACAGAACTCCATCAATGAACTCAAGTATTACCTTCCTGCATTAAGTAAATGAAAAAAACAAAGGACGAAAAAATTAACAACTCAACATAGAGCACTGATACACAAAAAAAAAAAATCCCAAAGACAACATAAAACATCGATGTGGTAAAACATGTCTACAAGAAAACCTTTAMATTGTGTATTACACTTATGAATTTTCCAGTTGTTCCATCTGCATATTGTTGAAAACTTACTTACAAAATAAAACATCTAGTACTTATTGTATATATACACCCAAGAAATCATCTTTTGAAACCTCCTTGCTTTCTTTAACMAATAAATTTGATTCCACACAGATTTATGCACAGAATACAATATGTAAAATTGGGTACTGTGTTTATGACTAAAAATACCTGAGGCATTTTGTATGAAATAAGAAGTACTTACTGCAATATCTATCACTGATTTAAATCAAACTATATTATAAAGTAATCTGCAGAACACCCTTCTCAGTTGCAATGTAGCTGAGATTACATTAGTAGCACAGTATTAATAATCTTCCCRATTTTCATTACAACTTTTGTCTCTAAAGGTAATTGCTTTTCTAGAGGTTACTTAAAAATCAAATAATAAAACAATAGAAGTTCTTCCAAAAACAGGAAAAACTAAGGGAAGTTTGGATTCTTCACTTCTGCTGCAATTGTATACATCTMAATTGAAGTGCAATTCTATATTTCATCCTGGGGGTTAAATGACAAAACTAAGGAGATGATGAATGCTGAGACATAAGCTGAATTGTTACTTCAGTTTTAGAGTACTTTTTGCAGCACTGCCAGAAGCCATCCGTTTCTTTTGATTAGCAGCAAAACAATCTTGTGTCCTGAGAATAAGTGGATGGAAGATGGCTGATATAAGAAAGTGTTTTCATCTATGGAAAATCAATTTAACTACAAAAATCAGAATTCTCTTAAGGGRAAAAAGCTTAGCTCTTGGTTTGTAAACATCTTACTATGTTAAGATATCACTTTTATAGCTATGAACTTAGTCAGCCTTGTGATGCATCCACCAGTAAGTACATCAGCCTAAAAGATGCCTCTAAAGTTGCTTTATGCTCATTCTATTGTCCCAAATCTCTGCCAATAAAGCCAAAATGTGTGTGCATATCCCAGTTTAAGTCAACTTCAAATTATTATTTTGGGGATCATCCCTGTTGTCTTGCGGTGATTCATAATTATATTGTATCCCATAATGATTTGTGCAAAAAAAAACCTGCAATAACAAACTTTAAGCCATCTTGAGGGCAAATTCCGCAGCTACTTTGTTTTGTCAAACAAATAAAAACATTTTATCTAGTTATGATGAACTTGTACAGCACTCCAAATGAACATTGCATTTAAACATTTTCAGAGTTAACCCTGATCTGAACCAGAGCACATCATCACTAAAAGAGATCCAGATAAACAATAAGAAACAGATATAATTCCTATGGCATCATATACTGTGAAATACAAACTCAAACACAAGAGCAACAAATCACCTGAAATGTTTAACATACTATCATGTATCTTTAGAACTTTCTCCTGCCTCAATGTTCACAAAAACATGCTGAATTTAATTACTCAGGCCCGTGGGCTATTCACTACAAGACTTCAAAGTTTTACTTAGCAAGAAGACTTTAAAATAAACAAGGAAAAAACAAAGGAAAAAAAAAGAGAAGAAAAGAGGTATTTTTTACTTTCTTGGTATCTTTTCCAAACCTCAGTCTTGTTGCTGAGAACATATTTTTTCACTTATCACACAACCCAGCCATCTTGAGGGCTAACTAAGCTGTCYATTTTTGTGGAACCTCCACTTGTTTATAGCTCACTTTAGTCAAGCAAGATGCTTAGTGTAGAAAATGAGATTTTATGGTCAGGACAATTACAGAAAATAATGGCAATATGCACTATGAAATGATAAATCAGTATTGAAAATGCTTAACTAAGAGCCTAACAATGYAGCTATAAATATTGAAAAAGTGACCTCTACACAGTGTATATAAACCATCTGATAATGGTTTAAAAGGAACAGAATACAGAAGAGTTCTTCAACTGGGCTACAGGCAGGTTTCTTCTTTTAGGTGTTTTTTCCACATCTGTTTGAAGGGCTTATGAAAAAATATTCAGATAGATTAGTGAAATATTTTTAAAAATAAATGATAAATGCTACCTCAAGAAAAAAAACACTTCATTGTTTCACTGACATTAACAGGTTTTAAAGTTCCAGTATTAGCAAAGCTGGTAACACATTTAAAATGGCAATTCTGCCATTTCTTCATACTGCAGGGATTGAATGCATTAATTTTAGTGAATTTTTGCTCAGGTAAAAAAAAAACCCAGAAGATTTCTTCCTCTTCTCCCACAGAGAAAGATCCCTCCCTATCAAACTTTTCTCTGAGCAGCCCATACTTAGGCTAAACGTTATGCTACAAGTTATCTTGAGTATAACAAGTGACATTGCTTCTGTGCCTAAAAGGGATTGTCGGATTGTCACCACATCAGGCACTACTAAAGCCTTTGTATATTTTCCAGTAAGCTTAAAAATCACCKTCATATTTTACATGGATATATGGCTATTTTATTCAGTCCTGAAACCRGGGCTATTAAAAAATTAAACAYTACCCCCATTTACTTTTAATACCASAASTGTTCAGTACRTYRCAAGYTGAGAGAGATAGTTGGCAGGTTTACTGTAACAGTCTCCAAATCTTGAACAAACATTAAACTTGTTACTAATAAAGAAAAAATAATGTTACACAGAAATAATGCAAGAGAAAAAAATTGTTGGATGGTACATTTGCTRTAAGGGCAGAACATACGGATGTCTGAGCTTTCTACATAGGTAAAACAATTTAAGTACTATGATGGCTAATGCAAATAATACCCTGCTGAGGATGGGATAAGTATCCAAACACACAAAACTCCAGAATAAACTCAAGTACCAGGACACAGAACAAGCTGTGCTCTCAACATCCAAGGTATAAAATGATYCCCCCTTTGTGGATAGGTTCTGATAAATGGAAGCTACCACAGCACTCACCGTTCTCGGTCTTGTTCAAGGGCTTTCTGCTCAGCTTCCAGACTTGCCTGCAGTCCTGCCTGTTCATTGCAGCTGTTGTTCAAGGTGGCCAGCTTCTGTTTCTGCTCTTCAATTTCAAAGTCTATAGTGGAACGACGCTGCAAAGCAGAATGTCTCCGTTCTAACTTAGCAACAGCTTGTTCCAGCGCCTCCCTCTGCTGCTTTTCCCTTGATTCAAGGATTTCCTTTTCCTTTTTCCGAACCTTTTCCTCCTGCCGAGCTACATTGGCTGTGAATTCAAATGTTTCTTGAAGCTGCTGCAGCAGATTTGTGCTAGCCCTATACTGGGCAAGCTGCTCTTCTTTTTCTTCTATTTCTTTCTCTATTTGATAGAGAGTATTATCTAACCCTAACAAACCCCTATCAAGGACTTCAGAAGCTCTTTGTTTTTCCTCCAGCAGAGCTGGCAAATGATTACTCTTTAGGTACTCAAGCTGTCGTACTTTAGATTGGAGCTTGCATTCTGCTGGCTTTATCTTGTCAACTTCTTCTGCTTTGAGTATGGCATCCATAAAGTTTTCTTCATCTCTCTTGAGATTTAAATGTTCTTCACGTGCAAATTTTAAGTGCTTCAGAGCTCTTTTTTCATCTGCTATTTCCTTTTCTAGGTGATCCATTTGTTGAACTAAGTCTTTTTCCAAAATAGTCAATTGTTCCAGCTGTTTCCTTTTAAACTCAACAAAATCATGCTGTGCTTTTTCTAACTCTTCATGGTTTTCATCACCTTCAGATCGGGCTTCCTTGACTTTTAAAAGACATTCTCTGATATCTTCAAGATCTCTTCTCTCTTCTTCTACCCTTTGCAAATCCCCTCTCTTCAGGAGCTCTATCATGACCTGCTTCTCTCGAAGCTGTTCTTCTAGGTGAGCCACCAGCATCACCTGTTCTCTTTCCTGTTCTTCAAGTCTCTTTTTTTCTGATTCCAGCTTAAGATATTGCTCATCTTTTTCCTTTTTKAGTTTTTCTAGTTCACGAAAAATCTGCATTTTCTCTGCTTTTTCATTATGATTAAGTTCTTGTAGTCGCTGCAACTCCTCTTTGACCCGGGCAAAAATTTCTTCCTGATGCTTTTTCTTTTGAAGCTCTATCTCCTGTTGTTCCCGTAATCTCTCTTCTTCAAATTTTTCTTTTTCAGCCAGCAAATCCTTTAACCTGCTCTCAATRTGAACACTTCTCTGTTTCAGACTCTCCTCCTGTTTCCGTATTTGCAGCTGAACTATTTCTGTCTCTTTGCGCTGCGACTCTACTTCTTGCTGCATTCTTACAAGTTCTGCTTTGTCAGACTTTTGTTTTTCTTCCATTTCTTCTATTTGTTTCCTGCAGTAAAACATTGACACGAAGTTAAAAAGATTTGGACAAAGGTTTTTGAGTATATGTAACAATTTCTTTTTTCAATAATTTTGCTTTGCTACATGTTAAAATCCTGCATTGCTTGGAAGCGACTCAATGCATGAGACAAGACAAAAAGWGATTCATATAGTCTGTGTTGAAATAAAAAGCTGTGGATACATGAAGTTACAGGAAGATGTTACATAGCACTTATAATACAGTTTATCAATAATTCAGTTGGAGTTACCAAAAGTGAAAATATTGATTTAATTCATCTGTTGGCTTAAATTTGGTGAGACAAATTGCTAATCAAGTTCTTTTTTGCAAGTTTTTGTGTATGAGAATGAATGTATGTATAAAAAATACGTATTTACTCTGCATTCTGTGCATGGAAATGTTCTATCTATACTTCTATTGTATAATTTTGTAATAACRTAATATTTGAGACAAATTATTATGTCCTGCGTAATCTCTCTTACTTGAAGGTCACCATTATCCYCATAATACAAGTAGAGACAACCAGCAAGTCAACTGATTATTTTGCAGTAAGTCAGATGAATTAAAGCACAAGCAAATCAACTGCTGCACAATCTGATTTCAAAGTCCACCAACATAATAAAAAAGATAAATATCAGTGATCCTATGTTGCATTAGCTGCTGAAGAGTATCTTTCAGTGCTTCAGAGCTTCTGGATTTTTCCAAGTCTACTTCACTTAGTTCAACTATATAAAGAGTTCTATCAGAATGGAGCACATAAGATGCCAGAAGATTTTTAGCTTGTGCATCTAATCAGTGCTGAGATCTGCAACGAGGCACAACTATCATTTTTACAATCTTAGCAGGCATGATGAGCCAAAACCATCAGTTCAGTTTGCCAGCTGACAAAAATGCTTTCCTTCATATTTCAAACCAAGTTCCACACAATGTTCTGCAAAGCATGATTAGTATGCCCATTCCATAACACAGTTTGTTGTAAGAGAWGCAGAATGTAACATGTGAGTTTCTCCTATCATGATTCAATCAAAAGACAAATAAACCATAAAAAAGAGACATGAATAAAGAATGTAATTTGTCACCTTTTAAAATAACACCATGAAAATTAAGAGTAAGGATAATATATCTGTACAATCTATCCTTCTCACACCTTTGTATTCMAGAGTTTCTTTGCTAAACATCAATTAGCTACAATTCAGCTATTCAGGATCATCTGCTTGCTGAATTTGTGATTCCAAAGTCGTGTTTTAAATGAGTCTATAACTTGAATGTATAGATACATATACACACATAAATATCAGAGAACAATGTTACCTTTTACTTTCTAGTTTTTCAAGCTCCTCTCGTTGTTGTCTCTCAAATTCTAGCCTGATTTAAAAATAAAAAATACAATAAAAAGGTTATTTCCTGAATATCATGATGCAATTTTTTTTCTGTTTAGATGATAACAGTTATACAAATGAAGTTTTGTACTTTCTACAAAAACAGAAAATAATTCATTAAGGTTACAAATTAGGTATCATGCTGACAAGAGTATAAAAAGAAAAATAAACTGATTTCCAGGGAAAAAGTATTTTAAAAGGGAAGTTAAGCAAGACATATAGATGATTAGCATAGCCTCTGCAAGTTAACTGCATGCAGACACAGCAATCAATATACAGAAATTTAATTTCTCTACCTTAGACAGATCGGTCCTTTAACAGGGAAAAGACTGCCATTGGAGGCAGGGAAAAGAGCAATCAATTGAGAAAGGAATTGATAGAAAAAAAAACATATTAGCAGTACAGAATACTTTAAAATCAACAGCACTTTGTTTTTTTAGAGGTTAAATTGGTTAGATTCATAGCACCTTTATCACATTACAGAAGTTCAGAAGTAAAATTCAAATAATTATYCTTTCTAAACACATTAAAYGCCAATGACAGTTAAAATTATTCTYCTCATCCTATGGYTTATTAACTTTGCCACTTCTGAGAAGGAAAATGGTTGTAAAACTACAGTTGTATGTGCTAATAGTATTGCCATTTACTTCCAAGAAAAAGAAAAAATCCCAAACATTCCTAGGATGTAAACAGTRGGATTGAAAAATCCCAAAGTGCAACATTCAAGCACAGAAAATAATTCAAACCCGTTTATTTAAAATATTTTGAGATTCTAATATATTTAGTTTGACATGGCTTTGAGTAAGTATGGGAGAGCATTTTATGTCATTTTTAATATCAGTTTTTATTACAACTAGGCACAAGTATTTTTCTTATTTTAATTTCATTTGAAAGATTAATCTTTTATTTCAGTAACTTTTTAATAACAAGTATTAAAAGGGCAGAGAGAACCTACATACAGATTAAGTTAATCAACCAAATACACAAATATTCAGTTATTTCAGGCTTGTTACAGTTTAAGGATATTCAGGTTAGTGAAACAGTCCATAAATACCGAAAAAAAAAATGCAAGACTGCACCACAAGTTAACTTCAAGCTTTTGATAAACTGCAGTTTAAGACATCATGACCACAATTATATAAATGGGGTTTTAGAAAAAAGACATTTTTTAATATTTCTTTTTAAAGTCATAGAAATGCATACAACAAAAAGAAGTCATCCTTGGAAATATGTAGATAGTACACCAATAATCTAATATTTATAAATGTATTGTTACAAACTTTTTGATTCCTATATGTTCAAGAAGTCTCTCTCTAATGGTTGCAATAATGGAGAATAACTACTTTAACGAATTCCACATTTAATTTTTCCCTATTTCTCACAAATTAATTAAAAAAATCTTCTACAATCCCTAAGAGATTACCCAATGTAGATTTTTATACTCATCTCCAGGGATTCAGAGTTTTCATGTAACTGCCTAACCAAGAGCCCTTTAACATTTGCACTAAACTAAGATGGGCACTTTACACACACAAAGAAATAATGGTAACTTAGAGTTTTTAGTTTGATCACAATGCTGCAGCAGGGATACTGCAGAAATCCACAAAGTGAATGCAAAATCCACAGAGTGGCTGTCTATTTTCTTACTATATTTAGGATTTCACCACTTTTGAGACCCTGGAATATTTGCTTTAAACTCATTTTGGGCTCAAAGTTATTACAGGACAGGAGAGAATCTAGGGTGGCAAGATAGGCCTGACTGCAGCAACCTTGTTTCTTTAAAAACTAGTACAAAAATCTCAGCACCACCAATGGAAAAAACTAAAACCACTGGCTGTAACAAATCACTGTCAGTTTTATAAACACAGATGCAAGACTGATGTTTTCTGGTTTAATCTATCCTAATAAAAGACTTTTTCACATAATCTCTATTCCCTTTATTAATGTAACCACTGCTGTGAATAGAAAAAATGCATATTAGCTTGAAATTAAAAAGAAACAGATATTAAAGACTAGAATCTACTCCTTCTTCTTTTGTTGTCCTACCACAAAGGAACCTAATCTGATCAGTGTTGAATTAAATAGACATGATTTTCCTGGAAAATGTGTCATATCTMGTGATAAGAGCAGTGTTGATAAGCTGCAGAGAAAGGAAGTCAGTTCTACGGGCACAGTATTATAGCATTTTAATTTACAGAGCACAAAAATGCAATCTGATACTACATCTGTAAGGAAAGACTGAGTACTGGCAGGACTACTGAGAYGTTACAGTGCTGTTCAGTAGCCCARTTCATGAAATTATTAAAATAAAAACATAAACAAGCCAAATCCCCCATACTAAACACATGGCAAGACCAAGGTTTCTCATCAGTAGTTTTAGTTACAGTACCATGTAGCTAAGAAAAGGTCCATAAATGAAATCTTCTGCATAAATCTACATGCAAAATTCTATTTTATCCAAAGCTTATTATGTGAAGCAGCGTTGCATGACACCAGATTAAAGACAAAGGCTGGGAAGAAATAGAACAAAGAGTTTTGCACATTAAACCAAAAGTTTATGTAACGAGATGGTTTCCCACATATGGGAAATCAACAGCCAAACAAGCACACATGAGAAAATACCACCCATCTGAAAACACTATTYATGAAAACACTGGTTTTCACATGAAAAAGATACAGATACAGTAAATAAGATCCATCATGCTGCTTTCACAACAACTGAGGGTGATACCCCACAGGCTCTTCTGCCATTGATTGCTAAAGATGCTAGATCTTACCAGAATCTTTATTGCAACCTACAAAAATGGTAAATTTAGCTACCACTTTATGTTATCAATACTGAAACTGGAATAAGAAGCAGTCTTGAAAAGGCTAAATTAACAATAGGCAGAATGCTAGTCAGCCACRAAAAYTGCACAGAAYAAAAYCTAAAGGGCCAGCTACTGAGTCTCAGCCTGCACTAGTGGTGGGGAGTATCATGATACTCCAATCTATTGTAGGAAAGGGTCACACCAGTGCTCCTAATAAAACAAACAAATGAAAAATCCCCAACAAACTAGATTTATTGTAGGGTATTCTTTTCCATTCTGCACTTTTCCAGGATGCAAGGTGCTCCACTTCACTTCATGGGTACAATTACCCTGCCTTTGATACTCAGAGATAGGATTTATTGAATGTCTCATCTAGGCTGAACATAAGCACCACTTTTAAGAACAACCTCTGTAGCCCAGCACCTGCCTGGCAGCATTCTTAGCTAGAAGTAGTGAGTGTGAAGTCTGCTTTATTCAAAACATATTCTTTTATTTAACTTGCATTTATCCCAACCCCATTACCCTTAAAATAACAATTTCTGCACCATTACCTCTTTGTAACAACCTCACCACACCATCAGAAAAATTGCAGTGTTGTTACAAAGAGAAGTTATGAAAAAACCAGCGTTAGCATCAACATAAATTTAAAATTGTCAGGGTAGTTCATCCTAAGCTGAAAAGCTGCTGTTACCAAAYTGTTGTCCATAAAGATGTATCAATTACAGAAGATAATTTCATCTACTGATTTGTAGGGCTCAGTTAAACTGCAGAGCAGCCTTCAGAGCCTGCCTTTGCAGCAGTATAAAAGCAGAATAGTAACATTTGAGTTTTGGAGGCTTTTGCAGGGTTGGGGTTTTTTGGTAGGTTGCTTTTTGGATTTTTATTCAGGGGGGAAGGAGACATGCAGGTGTTTGTTTTTTTAACCCACTTCCACACTGGATAAACCATATGTATTCTAAGATGTGGCTGAAACTAGGTGACTTTTAAAGGTCCCTTCCAACCCAAATGATTCTAGGATTCACAGGCTTCCTGACTTAGACAAACATGTGCACACTACAGAGACCACAGAACAATTTCAGATATGTTTTATTGCTCACAAATTACCTACATTCATTATGCACTACGAGCCTTAAGGATAATCCTTTCTTGTGTTTACAAACCAAGCAGGAAAAAAAATCTATAGCTCCAAGACAGTTCACAAATATTAACTGAATGCATACCAGCAGGAGACTATCAATGTTTAACCCTCTGCTTGTAGTTTATAATTTATTGAAAGACATGCATGAAGAGGTCAGGAATATAAGTCCTTCACCTAATCTTATTCTCAATTTCAAGAGCAAGAGTACACTCACAATCACACCCAAGAAAGGAAAAGTCACAAGAAGTGTCAGATGGGAAAAACAGCAGAGTTTTGAAAAATTCCTGCATACACTCACAGTCTAGTAGTATTAYCCATACTGTTTGATTTTCAGGAAAAAAAAAGGCAAAATGCAAACTGATAAGGGGAAAAAAAAAAGGCAGAAGAACTTGCAATCTACTCTATCAGAGACAATCATGTAACTCTCCAGTCTCTCTCTCTTTTTTAAATAAGGTTTACAGGAAAAATCCCTTATGCAAGGCATGGATTTGGCATTATCTGAAGACAGTGTGACTTCTTGGGCTGGAAAATAATTTTTAAGCACACCTTCAACTGGGCCTTGTCCATGCCATTATATTTTGCTGTAAATCTGAGAGGATAGTGAGACAATGCTGAAACAATTCGCCCTATCCTATGCTGATAGYAGAGTTAAAGTCAGTACTATCTAATCTAATGCAGTTATTCATAACAATATTAGAGCAGAATAACATCATCAGTCAGGGAAAAGCCCAGGATAGCTCACCAACAACCACAGGTAACAAACAACAGCCAGGAACTTTCCCCATCTCACAGAAAACATCATACTAGCAACTGTCATTGTAAGTCTTCAGACTGAACTATTTGAAAAGCTGAAGAAACAGAAAATTATACTACACTTTTTTTGATCTTCTTTATTATGTCTATCTGAAAATAAGATGTAATTCATTAGCAACCAGTTCACAATCTTGAGATCTCTGTAAGCAGCTCAGAAGCAAAAGAGTAACAGTCACATTTAAAGCCGTGTTATTACACACACTCCCTGTATTTCAGACATCATTTAACTAGAAGTTATTATTACCTGTCCAATCTTCCCAAATTCTAATGGATAAAGAGCAGCCCCATGGCAGAACTTGGGAATAAAGCTGAACTATCCAAGGCTACAATTCAATTTACACTCTTTTTTTCGAAAGCACATAGGTGGTTAAAGTGCCTCATCTCACACTCAAAACACARGCCCTAGCTATGGAAAAAAAATTAGAACAAAACACCATCAATCCTCTGTAAGTCAGTTTAGGAACAGTGGAAAATCACTTAAAATGGCTTCTGTACCATAAGTATTCTATGTCATTGTAACTGCATAATATAACTTTTTTCCATATCTTAACTTGACCACTTACTCAGAGGTATTGAGAGAGAACACAAGACATTCATTTCTCAGCATTTTAATGTTTGTATTAGCATTATATAAACTCAAGAAATCTTAATTTTTAGTTCAAGATGCATTTTTTCCAGAAAAACGGTTCACTTGCAATTCTGAAGAATGTACAAACATAAAATTTGCCATGTCATTATTCTGCTGAACTGCTTTACTCATAATGCCTCTGGAACATTTCAAACATATAAAATGAAGAATGGTTGGAATTATAAAAACTGTATTTTAGGATATACTTACCCTGGATTATAAAGCATAACTGCTGACAGGTTCTCACAAGATTTAGAAAGATCAGTCATAGATAAGCTGAAGGAAGATAGCAGTCCACTCTAACAACAGACCATAAAACAAATATATTAGACAAGCAATGATGTGTTCACAAACACTTTGAGGAAATATTAACTAAAGTACATGAAGCAAATGAGAAAAGGTTTTATACAACAATCAAGGCATGYCTACATAAGAAATAAAATTGTTAAMAGGTTTAAATTWACCARATACTRATTTAATCTCACCTTTCTTTTCTCCCTTAGTTTAGCAGCTTCTTTGGGGTGGTTAAACCGAAACATGTTGGTTCTTCCAAGTAATATAACAGCACCTGATGAGAAAARCACACACCACTCRCTGAMAACATTCTGCAGCTGAAAGTATCATTTAATTTTTCTGACACATAACATGTAAGCAAAGCCTTCCATTAAGAAGGGACAAAATGAAAATGCATTTTGACAAGTGTATAACCATGCATAGTCCCAGCTACCTTAACTGATGCATACAGTRTATTCCTTCCTCTTCCTACTTAAATAAAAATGGAAACCCACACATGTTCACACACTGCATGAATATGATTGACACAAATGTCAATCATKTTCATGGAGTCCAGTTAAAGAATAAACATAGGGAGAGGAAGMAGCTGCCCCAATTTGATCTATACACTCTCTAACAGTGCTATTTTGGAAGTCACCAGTAGGAAGATTCAGCTGGAACATCCATAAATGTGACCAAGAACAAACTTGTCCATCCACTACTGATCACTGGTCAGGTTTGAATGCAACTGCACTAAAAGCTTCAGATCTCTATTATTTGCACTTCACATTCTTCTTCTCCATTAGGACACTGAAGTTTATTGTCATTCAAAACAGGATTATTAGACTTTAATACCCAACAGCTATTTTCTGAGGGAAGAACCTTGAATAATTCATATTGCTCAATGCACATCTATTGTTGTATTTAATCAGTTAAGGTATAGGTCACAAATAATGAGATTCTGAGCAATTTTTATATTTTAAAGACAATGGTACCAAGATTAATACTTCCCTACTAAGAAGTATATTGTCAGTGATGTCTCACTACTGTCATAACATGGAAGTCTTCCAAGTTCACCACTTCAGAACCAAGCATTTATCTGTCAGTCGGTACGAAGCATTTTTAAAAAGAAAAAGGACTCCATTACACTCACAATATGAAAAAACTGTACTTAAACTGATCACTACAAATTATTACCAGCTGATAATGAAATGCTGTCATTAGCAAAGAATGCTTCTCTTAAAATCAGCTTAATTACGAATATTGACTCAAATTAGGTTATCCAGTCTTAGCAAATAAATAGCAAAAAGCACTACAGTCACTTCTTGCTGTCTACACAACATCTCAATTTTGGATCGCATCTGCAGTTTACCTCAGTCTAATCTCAAAAATCTTCATAAATCTGTATGAAATTGCTTCAGTTACTTTCAAATGAAGATAAAAAGAATTAATTGTAAACATTTGTGACCACTTCCCTAGGTGGAAGTAACTTMAATAAATTAATTAAATTTTCAGAATTATTAGTTATAGATATGTGTCCCTAACCTCATAAATTTRAAGGAAGACAGGAGAGAGAGACTTAACAGGAAGTCAGTCCTAAATGATGGGTCATTTGAACAACTCCTAGTTTCTCTTTTAAGTATGGAAGGATTGACAGTTTGGCCCAAAATCCTGAAAAGCTATTCTAAGATGAGGGTATATTTAAGGCAAAGGACAAACTTTAGTTGTGAATATTAACTCAGTTAACTTTAGAAATCCTACCATACATTCTTATAAGTAAAAAAAAAAAATTAATTCAGTTACATTTATAAAAACATTACATTAGCCAGAATTTGAAAATGATAGAAGAAATCCATAGAAGGAAATGGCAAATAATTACTATGCCTCTTTTTTTTTTTCAAACTCCACRATGGTCTAAAATTTTAACGCATTTTCAAATGATGAATGGAATTTATGACAAATGGAAAGATTTAAATATATCACCAGTTAATCAGCATATTTAAGGACACTGGCACTTCATGCTGTGATACTAAATGCTAACAGAGCTGGGATATATGGATCACACACGAGTTTTTAAACTAGTGATTTCATCAGTTTTGCACTCCTAATGTCACAGTTGCCACCTTCCTCTCAGACTCAGTTTGTTTGCACACACAAAAGGTCACCTTATGCAGCTGTTTTTTCAATATAGTAACCCTAGACAACCCTTTCCCCTTTGAGTTGCAAATTTCTGTCTAAAGTAATCTGTGAAGAAAAAAAATCATGTTTCCACTTTTAGCAGTACAAAAATCAAGTTGTAACAYGGATCTGAAAGAGGGAAATAGCATCCAAACTCCTACTTTCTTCAGAGGCACACTGAACATTTTCTGCCTTTAAAATGCAAAAGGATAAAGTAAAGATGATTCATCACAACTCAATTTTTATTTTTTATAGTGTTATTTGCTATTCACGTCAATGTTTCTGTTGTTAACAATTTATGCATGAATTTTACTCAAACCTAAAACCAAGGGGGTTGGCCTTTTTTTTCCCTATCTGTAACAGAAACAAGCACATATGCCTCTCATTTTGCATGAGGAAATAGGCACCTTAAAAAGAAAAGGCAATGTCCCCTCTCTACATTAAAACTCCTTATTTTCTGTAGAAGCATTTGTTAACATTCAGAAAGGATGCAAGACTCCCCTTGTTTAACACTGGATTCTTCCTTTGCTAGGCTAAGCTTACTCCAAMACCTTCCTTTCAGAGAAGTGAGATTGTTTTTCAGCAGCTGAGTTGTGTCACAGGCTCACTCCTAAACAGGTCTTTTTCAGCTCCTTGCCAAATAGGAAGATACTCTGGGTGCTCCTGGAAGATAAAAYATCCTGAAGCTCTGCTGCAACACTCACCAGCTCACCTCTCATTCAGTCCTTTCCAGGTCAACACAATATACCATTGTTCCCAGTTGTCCCAGCTGCATTTTAATTTCCACATTATAAAGCTTGTATATTAAAACTGTAATTCTCTAAACTTCCTCCCTAAGGGTTAGCCTATCCTTTTTTGTTATTTCCTATATTTGCAGCAAACAGACATTCCATGTCAACCTCCTGCTGAACAAGAATATTTGGCAASAGTATTAAGCAGGACCAACCTGAAACTCGGGGAACAGGGCTGGGGTGTCTCTGGCATTATTTTAGTCCTGTAGAGATCTATATTCTTTTTGTTAACATTACAGCAATGTAAGCAATCTGGMATAAAGTTCACTTTGTGTAAAAATKAACAAAATCMAAGGGCAAGAATCAAATCATAACCAAGATAATGAAGTTGTGAATAAAGAATTCGCTTTTCACCACATGGCAATACTTTGACAACAAAAACACTGTGGCTTTCCTGGTGGTTTTGGACTATAGTTGAGAAGACAYGAAATTAAAACTAATGAAACAATAACCCCTTTATATAAACAGATATTTTCAGTGCTGCTGCCAGGAAGAAGCAAAGAGGCTGCATGAAAAATGGCATTAAGCTAGGTAATACCTTGGTTGAGGTGTGTGGGCTCTGTAATCTGAATACCATTCACGGAACACTGCGCTCCATTCAGCGGGATGAGGTTCACAGTACCAYTGAGATTTTCAAAGATGCAGTGCTCACTTTCCAAATCAAGGCCATGAAGAACTAAACACAAAGAAATAAGATAACATAATGAGTCTCCTCACAACAAATAAGATTAACATGCTAATAATAATTTATTAAGAACACACTGCACTACATATCAGAGAGTATATTTTCTCTTTATTCTGGACAATGTTTTCTTTTTCCTCTATCACATTCTGCATGCCTTAAATATTTACTGTTTTATTCTAGTGGGAAGAAGTGTGCTAGGTTGATTTTGCATATTTTGGTGTCATGCTCTTTATTCCTCTGCCGTGATGCCTGATTGGCAAATGTTTCTTTTTTTCCAATAAAAAACAGGAAAGTGCAATTAATATATTTGTAGTGAGATTCTCTGACCAGTTTCATCACGAAATAATGAAAACTTGTAAACATTAAAGCAACAATGCTTAAATCTGAGACAGGATATAATATGCCACTGTGGACAAGCAGGATGGCTGAAATAAAGTTCTTATATCCTATGACATTCACGGGTTTTATCAATCAGTTATGCCACTTCCCATTTTTTCTTAAAAAATGTATGATTATGCATATTGTTTAATAAACCAATGCAACACAAGTTTGGTAGTTTCGAGGAATTTATTACAGTAATTTCAATCCATGCAATTTTTGGCCCATAAAAATATATCAAACTAAGAAGACTCTSAGTCTCTCACCTAAGAATTAAAGGATGCAATTTACTTAATGAAACTGTCTTCCAGGAACTTAAGTGAAACTTATACGACAGGACAGTCAGATCTGGTAGTCAGTTGCTTTGGTAAGAAAYCAATAGGAAAATCAGTAGATTTTTACCAAATTTCAGAATTTTTTTTAACTCAAATATAAAGTCCCAAGACTGTCTTAGATATAATGGTATAACAATGCTGCCATTTTACAAAGGTTAAGAGAATGATTTTGCAGTYACTGTGACAGGTAGTGTATGAAAAAGGACAGTATCCTTACAGGATGCTATTTCAAGAGAMGCAAGAAATAAATTAGTAACAAGTWTATGAATATACTCAAAGAATACAAGCTATGCTAGAAGTCATGGTCTTTGAAGGAAGCTTTCAGATTTTTTAAAAATTAAAATACGCAAAACAGAACAACAAACTTAAAAAAGGAAAAAAACATACGAAGCTTAGTTCACATTTTAGGATACTGGAAGAAGAAAGAATATAAAAATGCCAAATTCCATACCAATATCCTGTTCTGTCATAGCATCCTCTCTGCCAACATATGTTTGGCCCTCCTAATTAAGAGAGAAACACACATTATTTCTAGTTGGAATCTGCCTATGTCCCCCTCAAGAATATAATTTATCCTTCCACTTTCTCAGGGTAACCTGAATGAAGTATACATTTAAATATACATGGAAAAAAGGGAGCAGGTAGCATTTTCAGAATGCTTTCACAGTCTTAATTTTACAATATTTCAGCAAACCCAAGTTTCAACTGTCTGTGCAGAACCACCTTGATAGTTTTGAGATAATCTAGGTTTAGATTTTAACACCAAGYTTTGTAATAACATGAATGACAAAACAATATACACAGCTAAAAATATGAAACACCTATCTCTGGTTAACCACTTAATCCTAAGGATAAACCTAAACAGATATTTCAATTTAATCAATTTAACCTCCTAAGAGCTTCTCTTAGTACAGCAGAGAAGCATAAAGAGCTTTTCTCACCATAGTGACATAACTAGCAGTGTATTTAGATAGCAAATCAATACTCCAATTTTTCTACTGAAAGAATCCCAAGGCATATAAAGGCTGATAAACACAGATGTGTATTTACCTTCAAGTGGTACAAGATGATACCAGTACTGAGAAGATCATCATCAATGCCAATGAGATGAGGCAGTTCAGAATCTAACACAACACCTATCCCTTCTTTCCTCAGAGCCAAGGTTTGTTCCTGTAAAGGACACAAGTCTATTTATTAGCATGTGCAAAAAATACCCCTCTTCTAWCTCTTTCCAAACCACATTTATTGCAACTTCTCTGTAGTATCACACCAGAGAAAGTGAAWTTTTT